CGCTCAACGCTCAGCGCTCAAAACTCGGCTTAGCGCTCACCACCTCAGCACTATCGGCTGCTGGTGGTAACCCTGCACGCTGCCGCTGATACCACGGCAATGATTATCGTTCAACGCCAGTATTATTTTTAAGTGGGCGTAACCAAAAACTCTCTGGCGCCACCTTCGTTGTTGACGATGTCTGTACAACAATAACAACAAATTGAATGGAAACCACCACATCGTTTGGCGCTGTTTTGTTATTGTTGAATTGAATTTTGACTTCATTTGCTATGCTTTGTTTTTCTACTGCCTGCTGCTGTTATTGTTGTTGTTCACAGTTTATTTCTGTATACAATTATTTTCAATTTCGTTGCCCGCACTGCGCCGCCGCGCGTGCGGCTTAACGCTTACAATCAGCGGCTTTGCTTTTGTTACGGCGGCGCTTAAATCGGATTTCGAATCAGATTCAATTTCAGTCTGAGCTAAAGCTGGGATTTCAGTTCGAAGTTGTGTTCGGATCGATTTGTGGTACAGCGCAGCAGGCGCGTATGAGTACGCGAGTGTATCAGTGGCGCAGTCGCGCAGTTGCGCGCGCGTCCCCTACGTTCCAAGCGTTCATTCGTCGAAAATACGTATGCATGAAGGTGCGCAGCTTCAAGCAGATAAACTCAAACACACACACACACACACACACATACAAGTGCAGCCAGACATTCAGTTGGTTGTTAAATATTTCGGCTCGTAAAATTCATTTTATGTTTATGAAATTATTATTCTTCATAAAATTAAAATTATGGCTTCATTTCGGCGAATTGACACAAAATGCTATGGCGTCAATGTTTTCGTATGCGCTTTATCAAATCTCCATAACTCGTAAGACATTAATAGGTATGTAAATAAATACATTGCATACTAATTGTTAATTTAAGCTTTCTAACTAAATAAAAACTGGCTTCTCTTACAAATGCTTTGTGTAACTAATTCTTAATCTAAACTAGAAATCTGAAATTTTTAATTTGTATGTAAATATGTTTGGATAAGTTATGTTTTCTATTTATAGACTTTTAATATGTATGTACATATGTAAGCCTAGATTCGTTACGGCGTATCAAATGAACTTTAACGACGGTAGTGGGTTTTGTTTATTTCTTCGCTTAAAACTAAAAATAGCACCAGTCCTTTGTAATACTCTAATTAAGTACATAAGTCTGTCTGGGCGAAAGTTTTCCGTTATTTTAGCACTTTCCACAACTTCGTTGCCTTACAACGAACATGGATTCTATGTACACTGGGTTTGATTGGGAAACCTGATAAACCTGATACCTGATACAATTAATGTAATCGTAATCAAGAAAATGTTGATTGCGATTTTCTGATTTTCTGTAGAGGTTTAGTAGTTAAATAAATGAGCGGAACTTTGTTCTACTACACCGAAAATTATGTAAAATTGATTTAAAGTTGAAGTAATACAGTTACAAAGCGTTCGCTGTGGTGTAGTGGTTAGCAGTGCGCGCTACCAATCCGCAGGGCCTGTTACCAGTCCGGTTCAACCCAACATCAAAAAATAAAAACAAAAAACGTTTTTTCTAATAGCGGTCGCCCCTAAGCAGGCAATGGCAAACCTCCGAGCGTATTTCTGACGTAAACAAAACAGCTTGTAAAAATACAATCGCCTTTCGGGTCGGCGTAAAAATGTAGGCCCCTGCCCTTTGTGCTTGATTGCGATTACTTTAATTGTAATCCTCATTGTAATCCGAATTCAATGATTACGACTACTGTAAGCGTAATCCTATTTTTCATGATTACAATTACGGTAATTGTAATCTTAAAATTTGTATGATTACGATTACTATAATTACTATAATCGTAATCATAAAAAGTACGATTACGATTACAGTGGTCGTAATCGTTAAATTTTAAGGATTAAAATTAAAGTAATATATTTAATTTATTCAAGTTCAACCTACTGGGCTTAGCCCTCCCAGGTTTCGATGGTATATAATTAATCCGTTACATTTCCATCATAATATGAGGGAGTTAATGTCATTCTGCAGAGCTACGCAGTCTTCAGGGAGGTTAATAAGATGATAAAGCATGAGATCGTCGGCGTAAAGTAAACATTCACTAAGTTTGAAGACCTTAACGACATCATTGATAAAGGTAATGAAGAGTAATGGGCCTAGATGGCTACCTTGGGGTACACCAGAAGTAACTGAAATTGCCAGAGAGAGAGAGACTGTCACCAACTTTGACGATTAACTTCCTGTTCTTCCAGTATTACTCAAGCCAAGTTAAAGCGATGGAAGGAACTCCCAGCATCCCCAATTGGGCGATAAGTAGGTCATGGCCTAAACTGTTAATCACAATCAAGCATGTTATAATTACAATTACAGTAATCGTAATGCTGAAAATTTTCGTAATTACAATTACAGTAATTGTAATCCTAAGTAATCATAAAGTGCCCAGCTCTGGATAATAGGCATACATAGTCTTTCACTACTTCAGTATACAAAGTCTCTGTGTGTGTTTCGCTAGCAGAGCTCGAAAATAACCCTTAACTATTAACTAGTAATGTGACATTTTGGGTACGAATTAGGCTACACGTACATACATACATAAATATGTATTCATTTTGGGCTCTTCTAAATAACCGAAAAAAGAATTAAAGCAAAGTTAATAGCCGCATGGAGTTTTTATCCTGCTAAGTAAAGTTTTGTTTAACTAATAGTTTAAATTTGCTTTCCAAAAATCTTCTTTACTAGCTTTATTAATTTGAATAATTCCAATAAAATTCTCTTGGCAGCATTTTCAATCAAAAACGACTTAGGATTTTTATCGTTGTCGTTCGCACTGGCTGCTGAACCTGCTTGTTGTGTCGCCTATCAGCAAAAGAGATTTTAAAAATCTCTTAATTAAAAAGATACATCTCTTAATTAAAAACTCACAAGAGATATGTACATACGTGCATATAAATTCTAAGATAAACTTTAATGAATATCACAAACTCTTAGTAAAATTTGCATATTTTATGGGTGGTTGTAGCAAAAGAGACAGTGGCACAAACACTAACACAGAGGCTTGAAGCTTAGCCCAGTAGCGGAATGTGATGGAGGGTAAAGCAATGGTGAAAAAGGTAGTACTACAACTGGTATAAACTGTGTGATTCCACATACCTCCTTCATTAGAGTGCGCCATGAGAAAACGGAACTAATGTCCTGCACGACTAGGAATAAGGTCGCTAGCTTTTAATTGTCAAAGTTGAATTGAAAAAGTCTGCGGTTATGCGAAGTATCTGGGAGTTATATGGGATCCTGAGCTGAGTTGGAAAATAAATATAGAAGTAAGAGTAAAGAAAGCGAAGACATGGGGTCTTAATCCAAGAGTTGTACTCTGGATCCACCCAACGGCTATATGCCCGATTTTATGCTACGGCTCCCTTTTATGGTGGACTGCCCTACGGAATCAGTATAATCACATAAACTTAGGCAAAATTCAGGAGGCTACATACATTGGGACTACAGGGCCCTGCGGATGCCCTCAAAATGCTATTACAAAACTACATATTTGCTATATACCTGCACATAAGGCACTCCCCATCAGAATCTACTATAAGACTTATGTAGAGGACTGGGTATACGGAAAGAAAGAACGCTTGGACATAGGTGTATAATTTGTCGATTGCCGCCCAGGAGGAGACTGGCTACCAACAACATATGACCTGAAATAGAATTTCACAGGCCTTTCGGGGACTTTCTCTGGTCGATAGCAAAATGGGATGGGGAACCTAATATCTCCTCCTGGATACATCATCTGTAAACTAGTGGCTCCAAAATCGATTGCGGAGTTAAGGCAGGCGATTTTTTTCTGAATTCCTGGGATTATAGGGAGTATAGCCGGGCGGCTATTAAGGCCCTGTCGGTTTCTACAGCAAAGCTGACACTAAAGACAAAGTGTAGAATTTTTTTTTTTTAACACAGTAAGTAGTCAGCTCGATCTAGTTTTAGAGCGGGTTCAGTATTGGCCTCGAACAAGAATCGGACCGCATCCCCAATTGATATCTAACATATCTAACAAAAAAACTTTTCTCCGAAATCTTCAGAAATCGGATCAAAGGTGGCGCATGGCGGCGGGTTGCCATATATCCAAACTCATGTGGACTGCATACAAGTCTAAGAGAGCCCACAACTTAGTAAGCAAACTCAGACCTGGCTTTGCAAGGCTAGTAGCGATTTTTGCTGAGCATTGGCTAACATATTCATACGAAGTTCATGGGCTCAAAAGTTGTTCCGCCACCATTCAAACCTAACCCAACCATATAGATTTCAGATCCTGGCTCACAGTCAGGTTTGAAGCCGTCACTAAAACTTCTATGGTTGGAACAAGACCAGGCGGAACTACCCTTAAAATTATGTGCGTGGCTGAAGGCGTCGTTGAAATGTACCGACATTTTGCTACTGGGTCAACGGTAAACAAAAACACCTATACGCCAAAAACTTATTATACATACATATAGTACTTATAATATATACATATACTATGTATATGTATATGCAGTCGACTAAGATGAGGTTTTTGCTGGACCTGCAAGGTCGTTGGAGGCCGTTCTCCAAAGTGTGTGTGTGTGTGTACTATGCGAGAAGTGGTTTCTCCTGTAGAGTACCTGATTGTATGTATGTATATTTATATATATTTACACTTTATTGGGCTGTATATGTGCAAATGTATGGAATCATGGTTATATATACGCGTTTATGAATATATCTGCTGTATGTGGTACTGACGTTGTGGCGCCTGTTGATTTGACTCCAGGCAAAAATCTGAACTCTGTGTTGTCAGATTTTTATTTATTTATTTTATTTTTTGATGAGCGCATTGTTCTAATTAATTGCAAAAATTTCGAGTGTAGAATCGTAATTAAAGTTAGTATTTTATGAAAATGTGTTACCATAAAATGTAAACCAAAAAATCATTTAATATGAAAAGCTAAAAAATTCATCATCAAATTTATTATTTTACAGAATGGTTTTGTTAACTGTGACAAAGAAAGCTGCCCCTCCATCGATGATTGCTATTTGTTGGATCCAAAGACGCCAGATACGTGTTGTAGGAAATGCAAAGGTGAGTGGACTTGGAAACATTTCATATAAAGCTATTAGTTGAAGTAAAGGCATTTGCAGCGTTTTGCAATGAATTTTCATAATTCTACCCCCATATTTCGGCAGTTTTGCAAATATTCAACAATAATCGATTATTTGTATAAGTAGACTTCTGTACATGGAACCTGCGTTTTGTCGCTTTTTTTTGTGAAGATTAATTGAGCCGTGTTTATTTGTACAATATTTTTTACTTGGATTTTCCTAAATTTTGAAAAAAGCTAGAAAGAGCTAAAAGATTTACCGAAAAAAGCTAAAAAAAGCTGGCAGCCAAATTGGAATTTTTCTAGCTGAACGGCGAAACAACAGCTAAATCTAGCTGGAAAAGGACTAAAATGGCAACACTGTTGGCATGTATATGAAATCTTTTATTCAATCCATTCAATCCAACAAGTCAGTTCGATTTCTGTTATGTCGTCGTTGGCATATCGATTTCTTTAAAAACTAATTTTCATGAAACTCGAGGTTTCAAAAATTGAATGTGGACATTAAATATGGCCGTATTCATAAAAGCTTTTAGACTTAAGTTAGCAAAATGAAGAACGTTTTTAGTTCTGCAACTTTTGTTTTTTTTTTTTAGTTTGATTTTAAAGCTATTGCAAANAGCTAACAGCCAAATTGGAATTTTTCTAGCTGAACGGCGAAACCACAGCTAAATCTAGCTGGAAAATAACTAAAATGGCAACACTGTTGGCATGTATATGAAATCTTTTATTCAATCCATTTTTCTAACAAGTCAGTTCGATTTCTGTTATGTCGTCGTTGGCATATCGATTTATTTAAAAACTAATTTTCATGAAATTCGAGGTTTCAAAAATTGAATGTGTACATTAAATATGGCCGTATTCATAAAAGCTTTTAGACTTAAGTTAGCAAAATGAAGAACGTTGTTAGTTATGCAACTTTTTTTTTTTATGTTTTATTTTAAAGTTATTGCAAAATCGCATAATTATATAGAAAATCGTTTTTTTTTTTAATTTTTACCTACTCATTCCCTAAATCTGAACGATGTGTCTAAATGGCATTTATATGTTGAAGAGAATCATGCTTTACGTAGGTGACTTTTAAAGGGTTTCAAAAGATATCTGAAGTTGAGAAATTTTCTCGAGGTCCTTCCATATAAATCCTTATAACTCATAACATATCGTTATTGTAAAATAAATAAAAAAACCCCCTATTATAGCAGAAAGATTGCCTTTTTCAAATGAGCCTCGTTCTGCATGAATTATTAAAAGACTAAAACAATTACAGCTTGCTAGCTATTTGAANATTTTTTGTTTTGCAAGCTACAATGCATGGGGTAACCCGACCATGCACTTTAAATTGGAACTTTACTAGATATTCATATATCCTGAGTTATTTGATGTACAAGAATTTTATAATTAAAGCATTTTTAGGGGTCGGCAACGCGTTCCAAAGGTGCCCAAACCCACAATTTTTTGTATGGAGATTTTTTATTTTGCTCCATATGCGGCTTTTAAAGCATGGTTTTAATTCTATGTGCTAGAGGCCAGAAAACGGTTTATAAAAACGTTTTTTTTTTTTTTTTTAATTTAACCTTATTTGACTTACTCATTCCCTAAATCTGAACAATGTGTCTAAATGGCATTTATATGTTGAAGAGAAACATGCTTTACGTAGGTGACTTTATGTTGAGAAATTTTCTCGAGGCCCTTCCATATACATAAATCCTTATAACTCATAACATATCGTTATTGTAAAATAAATAAAAAACCCCCTATTATAGCAAAAAAGAATGCCTTTTCCAAATGAGCCTCGTTCCGCATGAATTATTAAAAGACTAAAACAATTACAGCTTGCTAGCTATTTGAAATGATTTGAACTACTAAACTTTCTTTTCTATTCAACTATCTTAGGTTGTATTTTTCGCGGCGTACCATACTCCAGTGGCACTGAATGGACTGATCCCGAAGATCCTTGTAAAACATACAAATGTATTGCCAGTGTTGTTACCGAGACGACGATGAAATGTTTCAATCAATGTGATGATGAACACGTTATACCGCCAAAGCCGGGCGAATGTTGTCCAACATGTCGAGGTAAGTTCTAGTAATTGCATTATTAATATTACATATTTTGTATGATTGTAACAGACACATAACAAAATATTTCGCTACCTTTTGCTTAAGTTTTATTATTTTTTTTTGTTATTGACCCTTTGTTATCATCTCTAAACTAGTCATAAAAAAAATCAAAACTCCATTTTTTTAATTTTTTTTTTGTCTAAAATACTAATAGAATTAAAAAAAATGTAAAAAAATTGTTGCTAGTGGTCTGCGGCCCATTGAAATTTGTACGATATATCTAGGGTTGCCAACATTTTCTAAGATATTACTCTTTCAAAAAAAAAAACGGAAAAAATATAGTACACTTCAAATATATATGGTATTTTATTTAAGAGGAAAAGTACAAACGCTTTTCATGTATACACCATTTCTTCATTCTTATGAATTTCTTTTATAGAAAATATATTTCTTTCATCTTGCCATTTCAAGATTATAATAGAAAACTCTTTCGGCGAATGCTAAAGTTGCAGAAATAGAACAGAAGTTGAATAAATTTAAGTAAATTTGATAATTAATTCTAAGTATTAATAAATATATATTTCCAATTTTGATCTGTGTTTCTATTCACATACTCACCATGACCTGTTATTTTAATGAATGAGGTTGTTCACGCTTGCCTGGTTATCAGCTTATGTGTTTATGTGGTTATATTTTTTATTCAGTTTACAACAATAAAATACACTACACAATAATAATTTTTAACCAGATAACCTGATAACCTGGTAAGCTTGAACAACACCACCCTGACGTCGAACAATATCTTAAACAAAATATTTTTTTGTTTCTGACGCAGATATTAAATTTATAAAAAAAAAAACTTTTATTTGACATACATACATAAAGTAAATACACATTTAAGAAATAATTTCCAACAAAAAATGAAAAAAAAACTATAAAAAATGGCCCCTTTTTCAAGATGGTGTACAGGATTTCTACATCGGGCATCGTCTGAAAACTAACAAAAAAAAATTATTTAAGAAGGTAGTCGCTATAGCGATGCCTGGGGAAAAATCTTGTTTTTTTGCAAAAATGGCAATGGTTTGAGGAAACGACATGTCTTTTCATGAAAATGTTCAACTAAATAAATTCAAAACTTAAAAACCGGGCATCGAATCAGAAATTCTCTACGTCTACAATGTCGCAGCCAAATCCGTTTAGCCGACCATGAGATATTTATCGCGTACACCAGCTTAAAAATCAGTGTTCAGAGAAAAACGCAGAAGACGAAGGTACATTGGTACCGCCTTACGGCGCCTTTCAACTACTCCCTCTTCCAACCGCTATAGTTTATGAAATACTTTGAATTCGGCAATGATGAGGAAGCGCTTAAGATATTTTTAAGGGTAGGTCGAATAACTCTTCACTGCAATTACGTATACATTTTTTTGATAAAATTAAAAAAAAAATCGATCAATGCGTGTTTTTTGGAAGTAAATATTTTATATTAAAAATTTTAAAATTTTATCGAAATACGGTTTTGAAAATTTTTTCGATTTCAAAAGTGTTCAGAAAGTTGAAAATTTCAGAAGCAAAAAGTTACCCAATTGGCCAATTTTTCGCAAAGTTATGGGCATTTAAAAAAGGAACGTTTGTTTTCAAAAATCGATATCACGAAAAAGGCTGGACAAAAAAAAATTAAAAAAAAAAAATCAGGGAGGTCTCTCTCAATCGGAGATCCAAAAGCCAAATGGTGTCCGAATTGGGCTGTAATCATATGTATGTATACCTAACGCACACATTCTTAAAAAGATTCACAACTGAAAAAATTTAGGTAGATTTTTTTTGCATAAATCAATTTGCAGGATCTATCTCTAATTAAGGCAAATATGTTTCTCTTCATGATTACATTCTCCTAAAAGAAAACCTGTTTTTGTATAATTGTGTTAAAAATTGTTAAGGTCCGCATACAGTTCTATTCCCGGATCTGATTTTTGAGTTGTGCCTCTTTTGAAGAGGTTGTACGATTTGTACATTCGTATGCGCTTACGTATATAGTATATACATTTGTAAGTATATATAAAAATATTATAGATATTGAAACGAAACCATAAAACTAACATTAAAACTTACGTCGACAAAGAGGAATCAATGCTATGAAAACAATCGGCTATCATTCGCATAATCCCCAAAAGCATGACAAAATCACAACTGAGCAAATAAAAACAAAATAATATAGTATTGAAAAAAAAGGGAAAACAAATCATACAAATTAAAATAATAATGATTTGAATACAGCAAAAAATCGCTATCTAGCTAAATACACTTTATTGATTTTTATATCTAAATTCATACATACATACATACATACATACATACATACATATGCAGACACATACATATCTACATCATTCCGAGACAATGGGTCAATATCCAAAAATAAGCATCACATTCAATTTTGATGCCATATACTCCTCGTATTTAGCGCAGTCACTTAAGTTGATTTCTCGCTAATCTTTTGTCATAATAAAAACAACAAAAAAAGTACAAAGAAAAAAAATATATATAACTGAGACGCGGAATGTTGTTGACGTATGTATGTTTGTATGTATGTATACATATGTGCATACATTGTAGTTTTATTATATGATTTGCCAATCACAATAATGTCATTAAATCATTTAAGCCTCAATAAAACTTGATCGAAATTATTGTTTATGGCCAAAGTAGATAATAACTAATACTATTAGAAGGAACGTGTGTTGAGTAACGCATTCAGAGTATGTGTAAATGTTGTTATGTGTACATGTGGCTAAATTAAATAGGAATATGTAGACATGGACATTAAATTGCATCACTCTCCATACAAAAAAAAAGGTATTCTTTTTCCAGCGGAATTATACAATTTAATATATATTTTAAGGTCTCCGCAAAAATATTTCGCAAAACTTAGTATTTACGTGAGCTAGACTGTTTGAAAACTCCGCAGAAGATCAAGCGTTTTATAGAAATCAATGATAGACGAGGTTAAGCTTAAAAGGTCTGCATAAGAATATTTAAAAATTTTATCACGAAATCAAAATAATTAGATTTTTGGAGGAATTTTCAAATTGGTCTAGTCCACGCCCTAAAATATAATAAATTTTATAACTCTGGTGGAAAGACCGCAACTATTTTTTGGTGAGGCACCCTAATTTATGTACATATGGATAGATATAGTAGAAACAAACTTGCTTATAAGATTTTGTACTACATACACATATCTGGCTGATTGAAATTACAAAGTTTGCAGCGATAGTTGGAATATGGAAAATAATAAGTTTGCTTGAAATCAAAAATCGAATTTATGTAGTTTGGCTAATTTCTGTTTCACTGAGAACAGTAAACTTATCTCTTGTCATACACCAAGCGCACTTCGGCGTGCTTCTGCGAAAGATTTACGGGGCTTTGTGTGTGTGGCAGCTCCAAATAACGCAGACGATTGAACGATGGGTCATGTCGCACGAATGATCACAAATCCGGAAAGTACAAAGCTCGGAACTCGCCAGGGGGTAAATTATTACAATATTGTTCTGAAAAGGCTTTATTTCTAAACTACATGTAGCAGGGTTGCCACCTATTTTAAAAATAAAATGCAACCCGAATTAAGGATTTAGGTGTTTTAAATATACATATGGCATAATATGAGTGTCAGCTAAAAGAAGTTTATAAGGTTGAATGTTTGAAAACATTTTGCAGAGATAAATAAATTATGACAAATATAGATATCAAGCGAAATGGTTTTGAAAAGGCTTCATTTATAAACCACGTGCAACAGGGTTGCCACCTGTTTAATAAATCAAATTCAACTTAAGGGAATTATCAACTAATATCACAATGTTAGTGTCAGAAGAAAGAAGCTTAACAAAATTTTAGTTTGAAAATATTTTGAAAGGGTTGCCACCTGTTTGAAAAGTCAAGGTTAATTAAATTATACACAGGTTATTATATGCTTATTCAGATTACGGGTGATAAACGAAAAAGTGTTAAGAAATCTTTAGCTTGAACATTAATAATATTTCTGGAGTGTTTTAAGGGGATTGCCACCTGTTAAAAAATCTTATTTAATTCTAATTATTGAATATGTAGTTATAATTACTTAATAGCTTAAATAAATTATGACAAATATGAGTATCAAGCGAAATGGTTGCGAAAAGGCTACGCGTAGGAGGGTTACCACCTGTTTGAAAAATAAAATTCCACTGAAAGAGGTTTAAGAAGGTTATGGTGTGAAAATATTTTTAAGGGGATTAAAAAGTAGAAAAAAAAATTTAAATCTACTTTTTCTGCCTGTGTTTAAGTATGTCAAGTTTTATTGAAATAAATTAGACTTTGGGCCGTATGAACGAAAACTAAGCAATTGCTTTTTATTCAAATTTCAGACCTTCTGCACGTTTTATTTCAATAAATTTAAGTAAAATTTCAGGAATTTTAAGAAATAGTAATTGCTAAACTTTTATTCTGCCGCTTATGTGACACAGAAATTTCATACACTCAGCGAAACTAGTGAGGACAAATTAATGCATATTTAAATTACTGAGAGTCAATTTTGTTTTTGGCGTAAATTCATATACATACATGAATAATTACCATGTACCTTAATTTTATTTCAAGGTTGTAAGATCAATGGACAAGTTGTAGCCGAGGGGCAGGAAGTAGTCGGCTCGATAGACGATCGTTGCATGGTGTGTCAATGTTCGAAGAATAAATTGACCTGTGCCAAGAAGACATGTCCAATACTACAATGTCCCATTTCAAAGCAAACACAAAATCCCAACGAGTGTTGTCCACGTTGCACCGAGCACCGCGAGTTTATGCCAGTAACTGGTGAGTACGAAATAAAAGCTAGGGATGCAAGTACTCAGATGCTTATAATATGGGGAGCGTGTAAATTAGGCAAACAAAGATCGCAGCTGTACTCAGCTGAATAGCTTATCTTTCTACAAAATCATTTCGCACTTTTTTACTCCTTTCGTTTCTAATATCTTATCTCTCGTTTATTTTCCACCTTCCAGGCAAATGCATTTTCAACAACAAAGTCTACTACGATAAGACTCAATTCACGCCCGATCGCTGCACAAATTGCACCTGCAGCAATGGCACATCGGTGTGTCAGCGCAACACCTGCCCCGTGCTAGAATGCTCGCCCGAGTATCAGGAAATGGACGGCTGCTGCCCACACTGCATCACATCGGAAGTGCGCAGCGAATGCATACACAACGGTATTACCTACATGAATAACGAGACTTGGAATTTGGGTCCATGCCGCTCGTGTCGCTGTACTGCCGGCAATATACGCTGCTCCGAAATGCGCTGTGCGGCGGTGAGGTGTCGTTCGAATGAGGAGAAGAAAACTTTACCGGGCGAGTGTTGTCCACGTTGCCTAGAGACCGCTGGCACCTGCACTGTCTTCGGTGATCCGCACTTCAAAACGTTCGATGGCAAATTCTTCAGCTTTCAGGGTTCGTGCAAATATCTGCTCGCTGCCGATTGCCGTGATCATTCCTTCTCCATACGTCTAACGAATGATGGGCGCGGCACGAAGCGGTCGTCGTGGGCGAAAACGGTAACTTTGAAAATGCGCGGTATTCGTGTGAATTTGGGTCAAAAGCTGCGTGTAAAGGTGAATGGCAGTCGGGTGTTGTTGCCGTATCAGGGCGCGGCCGATGGGCCCATCATCAGCATCGAACGGCAAGGCGAAAGTATTTTACTGCGGACCGATGTGGGGCTAAATCTCGAATGGGATGGTAATAATTTTCTGCAATTAACGGCACCCGCCTCTTTCAAGCAAAAGTTGTGCGGCCTCTGTGGCAACTATAACGGCATTGGACGTGACGATCTCACCAGCCGCGATGGCAACAATCACACCGACGATGAGGTTTGGCGCTTCGCCAACTCATGGAAGGTGGGCGGACCGAAAGCGTGTTCACGGCGTGTGGACAAACTTGCCGCGCGGCCAAATTGCAAGCAACGCCAGGCGAACGCCTACTGCCGCTGGCTGCGCGAATCTGAAGTATTCGGAAACTGTGATAATAGACTAAATCCCAATAACTATTTTGATGCCTGCAAGATGGACGTCTGCGAATGCCCCAACGGCCTGTGCCATTGTGACAGTTTCGCCGCGTATGCGCACGAATGTCGCCGTTTAGGTGTGCAGGTGCCGGATGAGTGGCGCAAGCGCACCAGGTGTCCGGCGGGCATGTGGCGACGCAATGCAACCAAAATCGCGTTACCGCCGTGGCAGTACCAAATGCGCGGCGGTGGTGGGGCCGGTGGTGTTAGTGCGCAAGCGCGTCGTCGCAAGCAACAACAGCAACTGGAGCTACAGCTACAATTGCAGCAATTGCAGGAGCAGAATAATCAGTTGTTGTTGGAGCAGCACGTGCCGAAGAGTCTGCTGGTGCATAAGTCACCGAATCGAACGCCACCACCGCTGCACTGAGCGCGCGCATGCGCAACGTCGCACTACATTCATCAACACTAACTAAGCTACGCTAGGCTATGAAAAATATTTCAAATTGAATAGAAATACTTTTTTTTTTTTTAATAGAAATACTTCTGTTTATTTTTTTTAGCAGATGATAACTAAAGCATATTGCTTCAGTTTATTAGATGAAGCGCATAAACGTATTTGTTTCTGTGCGTGTGTGTATGTGTTTGTTTGTTTATTTCTGCTAACTAAACCCAGTGGGAAAATGTAATGTATAGTAATCGAAAAAATAATCAGTAAAACGAACCTTTTCACTTTCGAAAATGCTTTTTTCCCCCCATGGCGATGTCCAAAGTAAAGTGGGGCATTCAATGTTGCATTACCAGTGCTGATTACATAGTTAACAGTAACAAAATCGAGAGCTCATAAGAAATACATTGCACTAATGCATGTAATGCATTACAACCTTGCCCACTGGGAATTTTATTGTATTTGACTGTAGTTGTAGACTTAATTTTAAGCCTCACTGTTTCTCTGTGCTATTTCGTACCATTTTTTTTTTTTTTTTTTTTTTTGTATTAACTAAACTAGTATAAGTTCACTTTATTTTTGTATATTTATTTGTATGTGTACATATATGTATGTAGCATATTTTTGTATTTGTAGAATTGTAGAATTAGAGCGAAATTTCCATATTTCAACCGTAACGGTTCCTACTCACACTATTCATTTGCATGCACATGCCCTGTCATTGGAGCAAAAGTAGTCAGTTAAGTGCGCATGCGCGTGCCACTGCAAAAGTGAAAAGAGTGTGCAACTAATGCGCATGCTGCCACATCCTCATGCGTTTGAGCCATACAAAAGGCGTTATGCGCATGCGTCACACCATTCTACTTCAAGTTCATGCGCTGCGTTGCTTAGGTGCCTTACTTATGCACTTCATATTTATATATATTCAATTCTTTTTTGTATAGAAACTTTTGCACAAATACACGTTTTTATTGGTTCGCTGGCAAGCGCAAAGCATGGCAATGTGTGCGTCAGCTGGCTGACTCATACCTGCCTCCCTATCATCATATTCTATGCACTAGCTCTAGGAATCTCACATATTTTGCTACTCTCACAAACCGAGAATGCAACTACGATGGTCACTAAAATATGCATGCATCATCAAATTCATTTTGAAAAAGTTAATCTTTTTCTAATATGAACGAATACCGTTTTTTCGGATAATTGCGTTTTGCTTAATTGCGTCACATTTAATAGCGCCACTTAAAATTGCATTGCATTTAATTGCGACGTGTGCTGCCTAAGTCAATTCGGGTGTGCGCAATTAAAAATTCGATTTATAGGAAAACCGTTTAAATGGTTCTCACACTTAATTGAGTCGAAATTTATTAAACGAAAGCAGAATTTTTACATAAGAATTTGCTAAATAATTTAATCAAAATACATTTGTTTTAATTTCGACGAATACCGTTATCATTGAATAGTCGCGTTAGTTTTGATTGTGCCACATTTAATTGAGTCACCTTTAATTGCGTAAAATTGTTTGCACCTGTTGACTAAATTAGTTTTACCCGTTCGCTAAAGATTTGTCATCGTGCAAAACTCGCATTTACAGGAATACCGCCTAATTGTCCTCATGCTCGATTGCGTCGAAAAGATTTAATGTTGAAATAATTCATTTTTTTTATTCCTGAAATTGGTACCTCCGAAACCTCGAGCTTCGAAAAGTGCTTGCGACATATCTCTTTCTTACTCTGAGGATACAATAAGAGATCATTGGGTGCCAAGTCGGGGCTGAAAGCCGAAGGGTGTAATTATTCTACGCTTTGAGCGCCAAGAAACCCTTTTATTGGACTGTGGTCGTGATGGAGGAAGATCGTTTTGCGGCGATTCTCCGAAGACTTCCGCCCAACAAACGGTTGTGTAACATTAACCTTTGCCCAAACAGTGGATTGTTGCTGTGTTTTGGATTCGTAAGTGCCAATCCACGACCAACTGCAGATCACCGATTACGATGTCGTAGCTGTCATTTAACCTAACCTGGCTGGTTGTTAGAATTTAGTCGCACCTATCGACACAATACATACTTTTTTTTTTTGTTTTTTTTTGTGCACTAAGAAACTAACCGACGCTTTATAGCGCTGACTTCTATTTTTGTGACCACGTGTGTATGATGTAAAATTTAGAACAAATTTTGAGAGCAAAAAAACTGAATCGCATCTTCCATTTCTCCTTAAAGTATATTCGGAAATACTGACGGGTATGAAACCGGAAACGCCGTACCATTCCTCTACTTAATAACTACTTTTTTTTCTGAGTTTACAATCTCAAAGAAAAAGAACTTTATTTTAATTTCAAATAACCGAGATTATCTACCTACTTATGAACAAATTTATACAACTTCTTCACCAATTTTTAAGAAATACTATACCATTTTCTACTAACATAATACATAAAAATCCCAGCACCGCATATATTTTCCATAAATTTAACTTTTTAAGTTACTTGTTATTTTCTGTTCGAACACAGAAATTATTTAAGTAAATCCGAAGGCAGTTGTGGCACTTAACACACAAGTTCGAAAAAAAAAATAGATTTAAAATGCTTTATAAGTCGCAAAATTGTAGGAAAATGCCACTTTATAAAGCTTTTTCAATTTAAATTTTTTCTGCTTAACTGCTCAAATCATCGCCAAACACGCGAGGGAAATGCGCAATATTCGAAAAACAATGTAGTTCTCAAATTACATTTAACATATGTATGGACTATATGCATCAAACGTTTTGTGTGAAATACGGTCAAAAAGGCATGAATGGTGTTTCGTTTTTAGTATTTACAACATTTTTCAAGCTAAAATCGCATTGATTTTTGAAAATTTTTTGGTGACGTTTTTTTCGGTATTTTTCATATAAAAAGCGAAATTTAGGATTTTTTTTTCGAAAAAGGTTTTGCGCATATTCTGCCACAAAAAATGTAAAAAAGTGCAAAACGCTGTCAACAAAAAAAAAAAAAAATTAAATATTAAAAAACAACTTTTTACTAGAAATTTATAAGCTTGTTAACTACATACCCAAAAAATTTCTAAAAATTTTGGTTCAAAAGCTCGAAATTTAGATGAAAATTTGTGGAATTTTTCTAAGTTCTGAGTAAAGATTGAAAGTGTGATTTATATAGTTTTTGTTAAAGCATGAACCATATTTTTATAAAAAATATCAAAACAAATTTTAGCTTGAAAAACAGTGTAAATATTAAAAACGAAAGACCATTTATCCATTTTTGACCGCCACTGTACATTATGTATGTACATTAGGCATATAAGCTTTTTTCTAAAATTAAATATGCATACATACCTATGAGAAGATGGGGATTGAAGAAAAAAAAATTTTCGAAAAGTTCCCGTAAGGCACTCTGCGAAAAAAATTTCACTAAAAAACATGCGTATGCATATCGTCGCGTAAGGGTGAAATAGGGCCAAGTCCATTTCTCTCCTCATAAGTATATTTAAATTTAGAAAAAAATCATATGCCTAATGTACATATGTATGTACATGTATACCATTTAATTTTAATATATAAAACAGAACAAGACAAAAATTCATAATTTAATTTAAAATAATTTTCTAATGCACACTAACCCTTGAAATTACAATAAAAAGAAAAATAAAGTATTTTTAATTCCTTAAAATTAAGAAAAAACCTGCAACCTACATTAACTATGTTAAGCTTGGAAGCTTAGTTTAAATGCACCGAGGTGCATTTATGTGTGTTTTATGCAAAACACTTTAAGAAATGTCATTTCATTTAATTGGTCTATGTTAGACTTTTCATTTAACCCACGTATAGCATATGTACATACATATGTACATGATTAATAATGCATCAGTACATACATATTTTGCTACTCTAATGTTTATATGTATGTATGTATGTATGTACATTAGGGTGGTCCAAAACAAGTAAAATCGGAATTTTAATGCTCTCACCGCCTAGGATTGTTCTATAACGGAAAAAGTGTTTTTCGCTATTTTTTAGTTTGAAATCAAAAAATATTTAAAGGTCGCTCAAAGCGCTCAAAGTTTTCCATGCATTTAAATGGGCGAAAAAAAAAACTTTTTGTAGAAATGGTATAGATTTCTTGAAAACCAATATTTTTCGATCGGAAAAATACCCAATTGTTTATTTAACCATTTTTTAATAGTCACGATTTTTTTATTGGTCACTCAATTGCAGTTTGGTGGGTTTTCGGGTTTTTTTGGCGGACCTATAAATTATAGTTACTATGGCAAAATTGTTAAATAAGCAATTGGGTATTATTACTGGGAATCTCCTGCAGAGAAACAGAGTTTTCCATACCATTTCTACGAAAATTTGTTTTTACCCCATACATATAAAATACAAGGGAAACTTTTAAGCGCTTTGAGTGACTCTAAATCAGGGTTGTTGCGAATATTATATATATATATATATGAAAGAGGACTGAAATAGCTTTTAAACAGAAATAACGAACAACCTCTATTTATATAGTTTTTTATAATTTAATACTAAAGAAATGCATATACCTGACACAATTTTTGTTCTATGGTAATTAATTAACATTTTTTGTTGAAATATTTTTCAGTATGGGGCTTTCCTCGTTTAGACATTTCAGTTTTAAAGCTATTTAAGTCCTCTTTCATTTGCTACCAAACTTGTTTAATTTGGATAAGCGGTTTGTTTATTATCATGAAAATACTTTTATTTCGGAATAATATTCGCAACAACCCTGCTCTAAATGTTTTTTGATTTCAAAATAAAAAAATAGCGGTATATTTTTTTCGGTAATCCTAGGGGGTGAGAGCATAAAAATTCCGACTAAACTTATTCACATGCATTATTGGACCACCCTAATGTACATATGTCCTTGCATACATTTAAACACAAAACAAGGCAAAACTTTTGCATATTTCACAGATTTTTTTTCACATGCCCCTTTCAAGACCTTTTTATTAATCTGCAGTCTAGTGTTTCGAGTGCTAGACAGTTATAGATTAAAAAAAAAAAAAACAAGGATATATATACTAAGTGAATATTGCAGGCATTCTCTCACTCATTAAACAAATCAGCACTCAATGTACCTTTATATCACTCCTTTCAATTTCTAAACGGCTCTCTTAGTCCATCTCAACTCTCTTACTCTCCTTAACTCTATAAGCAGAAACTACTATTTTTATTATCCAGTATGGCAATAAAAGCGTGATGCTGTGCAAAATTTTCTATGCA